ACAAGTGTAGTGTACTGTCTTTCTGAACCTCCTAAAAGTCGTAATCAAACCCACAATTTTCAGATATAACCAACAGCTTGCACCTATCTCACCCGATAAATCCATTAAATGTAGCCCCAATTACCACTAAAATAACTCTATTCATATTGAAGTTGATTAGTTTATATTCTCTATTTCCAATCTATTCACTCAATAATTGTATATTTAACTACAATTAAGATATTTTAGAGTGAAAAATATTAATTAATTTAACAATTGATGGATGACCCAGCATGTCATATGCCCAAAATTTTCCTGGATGTCAAAAATTGAATATGTGGAAGTACTCAGAACTTTAATGCTTTGATCCACAGATGTAAAACAAAAATTTATTGTTTCCAGTTCCCGACTAACCCTACTGTATTACTACAACCTTAAACATTTTACATTGATTCTTTTAATCACAGTTTGACATGTACTTAAAAATTTAAGTTGCTTTGTGAATTGTTGTAGTTCACTTGTAGTGATCTTAAAACACAACCTTTCCTAGCCAATCTCAAGAAACATTGTATGTTTGTTCAGCTGTTATCATAAAACCTTGGAATATCTGGAATACATTGGTAGTTGGCACAATTCGCAACACTGCATAAAAACATAGAAAAAAGACAAACAGCAAATACATGTCCAACTCAAAGATCTGTCTTGAAACATGCAATGTGACGAAGATGTACAGTTACATTGACATTTAACATACAGTAGTGTTCCAAGAACTCCAAATTGTAAAAAGGGACTTCTAAAATTGATGTCCTGTTTTTACAAAGTACCGGAAGATCTGATGAATTAATACTATTATTTACTAGTACAACATACCTCTAGTTATACATATTTATGATTGTTATTTATTTTCATCTAATAATTAGTAAGTTAGAACTTAGTACTTCTACTACTACTTCAAAACAACAATAACTTAAAACCATGATCTAATATTAAGCCTAATGTCATAACTTCAGATCTACCTACAGTAATCTAATACAAACAGTTTAATCCTAAGTAATATAACTAAAATACACTATACTAAGTGCTGTAAACTTTCATTACAGAAAAACACATATTTTCTCCACAAAAATCTGTAATTACAAGTACTTTATTTCTCTGTCTCAGTCTCAGAACTCAAAAATATACATCTGTTGACTCCCATTACTATGTGAGGGCATCTATATATTTAGTTATAAGAATGATAGAATTAGGGAGCATAAATATAAATTTTGGAAATATAGGAGTCATCTTCAACTCAGACAGGGTGGTTAAGCCTTTATAATGGGTTGCCTTCAGATGTGGTGGATGCAGTAATTTCAAGTTTATGGGAAGACTTGATGATAACAATGACTTAGGCTGGAATTGAGTAGTTGTTTTTTAAGTGAATGGGAGAGCTTCAATAGACCAACAGACCCCTTGTTGTCCTTAAGTGTTAGTTCAATGTTAAGTCACATGGAGAGACTTAAGATTTTAGCAATGTTTACTCTAGATCATAGAAGAATTACAAAAGAACTGAATCAAGTATTGAAAATTATTAGGGGTTTGAACAATCTTCCTGAGGATCGTGATCATCTGTTTCAGTGGTAGAATGAAAAGATTAACTAACTTTGAATATTAATGGTACATTTGGTAGGCTTAGATTTTTCAGTATAATACTAGAGCAGGACAAGTAGTAATATTTGCTAACTGATTAATCTATGGTTTTATTAATTTATAACATTTGATTAATCAAATAGTCCAGTGTTCCTTAAACCATGGTACATAGAAAAAAAAAAACTGATGGAATGTGCTAGCAACCAGTTGCCTTTGCTCTTGTCAGTTCTTCAAACTTTGTGATAGTGACAGAAAGCCTTAGTAGCTTGGCCATAACAAAGACAGTCCAAGCAAATTTGGTGACAATATTTTGATTACTTGGATACTTGGAATGATCAAAAATAGTAATAATTTGAAACAATAATTTCGATTAGATGATTATTTTCCTACAATCATCTTAATTACAATTTTGATTGATTTTTGGAATAATTGAAAGTCTTAATTTCAATATAATCATAATTTTGATTGATTAAATTGACCAACTTTATATAGTACTCAGTGAAGTTTCATAGCAGAGATAATGGATGAAGTCTGTAATGACTGTGTTTCAAGATCACATACTACATACAACTCCTTCTCTGTGTATTTATTCTTTGTTTTCATCATTCAGTAATAGCTGGACAGGTGATATGTAAAGTGCTTCAGCTTTATGGTTGTTCACAAAGGCCAAGCCAGACTCCCAGAACAGGGAGAAGTCACTTCTCCCTTCTGGTGCTACCAGGGTGTTCTTGAAAATAGAGATACTTCAAATTTGTGTTTCCAACACATTCATAACATGAAAACATGTTTTGTAACAGAAATGTTGTTCGCTTAAAGATTAATTATTTCCACTATATGTATGTATATATACATGAAATTTAAAGCATTAAATAATGCTCATTATTTTAATTTAAAACTATTTTCTTTAGATATAAGAAAACCATTTATTGTTTTTGTTTTTAATTTGAATGAATAAAAATCATCTGTCTCCATTCAAACTAATATAAAATAATTTTCTAAGTTCATTGCATTTTTCTTTCTTTTTCTATTTGGTTTACTTACATTTTGAACACTGGTCATGATTTGTAGTCTTAGTAGGAATTTAGTGCTCATAATTTTCTCCTGCATATTTACAAATTAGCAGTGCCTAAATCCTTTGGTATCTTGCACATAACAACTGAACCCATTCTGATTCAAAATCTTGTGAAACTATTTTGGCATTTTGTTCTCTAATTTTCCATTGGCTTGTCATTTCTGGCCATAATTTGACTCAGAATTTTCCACTTAACCAATATGATAGAGACATTGTGAGCAAATGAAGAATACCATTATGCAATACGTAAGTTTGATTTGACTGCATGCTTAAAATGCAATTATAACCATAAATTCTTAAGTAAAAGCAATCTAAACTGATACTGCTTTATGTATATACCTTGCATAATTAGCAATTACCTCCCATAACAAACAATCCAATCAAAAATGCAGCAATCCGTATGACAAAAGTCACATGACACCGTTCACAATCATCATTAACACTCTTTTACAATTCAATGATTGTGACAATAGATAAGCCAATTATGTCAATCAATAACAATCAATGCATGTAATTGGTACAGACATACCTCAGTGGGGAGATCAAACTGAGCTTGCTGATAAGTTTACTCCTATATCATGCATGCTCAGTTGGGAAAATATGGATAAATAAGTAGTGCTTATATCAAGAAATTTGGAAAGTAAATGTGTGATAATATTGCCTTTAGTACAGTGAGTGAATAACTTAGCTGAAAAAGGAGGGTGACTCGACTTTTGCTACAGGGAAAAATAAAAAGTGAATTCTGAACCTTGAAGGCAAAGTTTAAAGGCAGTTTACCAGGTCACGTGACCCCTGAGTCTTTCCAATATTTACCTACACAATCTTCAAAAGCTTCTGAGGATAGCGCTTCATCAATGCAATAGGATGGCTATTTTCCACATAGACTACTGTTAAGCTAAAAGGTTTTCCTTAAAAGTTCTTTCAGTTCTTTATGTGTATAACTTCACCCCCCACTAAAATAGTTTTCTTAGCTAATCTTTTGTGTGGCACCTTGTCAAAAAGCTTTTTTGTAAATCTAAGTACAAATCCACATTCTTTCCCTTACCTGAATAACATCTAACAATCTCTAGAATAAAAAAGGAAAAAAAAAGGCTTAGAAAAGGAAGATTTATGTTCAATGAATCCGCATCTATTTTCTTTTTATGATATTGTATTGTAAAATATCATTTTACAAAAATTCTTTTATCAGACTCTAGAATCTTCCCTGATACAGAAGTAAACTAAATGGTCAAGAATTCTGAATGCAGCTCTTATCATCCCATTTAAAAATAGAAGTAGGGTATCAATTTTCCAATCCTTCGGCACCTTTTCACTTTTTGTTGAACTACCATAAATGAAAGAGAGGCTGATATATCTGATGTTTGACCCTTTTTAAAACCCTGAAAAAAAAAAGGCAGTATCTGATTCTGGTGATTATTTTTAACTCAATCTTCCAAACAGTTAATGTCTACATGATTCAGGTCAGTCCCAATATTTCCCATAGACTGTGCTCAGGTTCAGGAACACTATTAACATACTCTTTTGTAAAAATGGAAGAGAATATTTAAAAGCTAAACCATCTCACAGCTTTAAAAAAAGATGTGATGATTGTGTTTGGTTAAGAGCACCAATCACTGTAAACATAAGAGCTTCAGTGGAAGCCATTAAATGTGTGCAAGTGACATATTTTCACAATTGATTGGTCATTTGTCTGCTTACAGAACTGCTACTGATATCAACCATCGTAAGTAGATTATTACATAGAATTATCTTAAAATTTTAAAATTTCGCGAATGGTTATACATGATCATGCAATTATTATTTTATTATGATTTTAAAAACTTGTTCATTTTTCCAGGCCTACTGATATTAGTCACGTTATTGATATTTGAATGACAGATATTTGATATATTCTTCTTTTCATATGCACCCATCTTTAATTTTCATAAAGCCCAAATATCATAAATGACTCTTTTTATTACCTTAGATATGAATCAAAAGCCATGTACATGCAAACAAAACTTTATAATTTTATTATGAGCATCAATATTACATATAATTTAATATAATTTATACTATAAATTAGAATAATTCTAAAAATGAATACTGTACAAGCTTCTTAATATAAATGTTAATATTATTTCAACAATTTAATATTATACTTTTGCTAATGATATCACATCCATAACACTAAACCGTAAACGATAAATCAAGTAATACTAATACTAGTAATAATTCTACACTAAATTAAAAGCAACTTTGCAAGAGAAACTGGGTATTTTGATGTTACTGCACTACTGCACGTGGAAATTCAAAGTAACTTTATTGAATATTTTCCTACCTGGAAACAACGTAACTTATAGAAGAATGAATGTCTTCAACTTCACTTTCAGTTTTACTCTGAGTCTTAACCGATCCGCTTACGGTTGCACTTGGTTGCTGGACAACTTTTAAGGCTTCAAATGCTTTTACTAATTTTTCCAAAGTGGCCATTTGAAACTGTTAGTGTTACTTGTAAGTTGTAAATATTATACTTAAAGCGAATGTTCAATATATGAGGCACGCGAATGATACTTGTCTTATGATACAGACAACACTATCCAGAGTAATAACTAATCATCTATTCCGAAACACATTCTCCAACATTGTTACTTACTATAAATGTAACATTAATGTTAAACATTTATTACTTTGATGAATCGAAACAGAACAGACAAACACTACTCACAGTGCCCTCTATGTAATTTGTTTAAGAAATGAAATAATACTTGGACAGCTAACGGCCCATGGTGTTACCAGGTTACATGCTCACTTTGTAACACATTTACAAAATTTGCGTTCATTTTAATTCTTTTGCGTATTGATTTAGGACATTATATACATCTAGTCAACTTCTCTGGGACATGTCATCTCGTCAATATTGCTTGGTGGTGTGAATGCACCACCAACTTAAAATAAACAAAACTATGTGACATGCACTACCAATATTTTCTGCCACTTCCCAAAACTTTTCAATTGTGCGAATGCTTTGTAACATACGTACACTCACGTAGTCGACCCATTGCAACAGTGAACGTTTTCATGTGTGTGTTTCTCGGATGAGATAATAGATTATCGCTCCTAAAGTAAGCAGTCAGTGCAAGCTGCAAGATAAGGGGAAATTTAGTTTTTATAATTATAAGTGAGGCCTTTCATGGCCAGGTGGTTATGAGCTCGACTCACAATCTACGAATTGCAGGTTCAACTCCCAGTCCCACTAAACATGCTCGCGAATTTCAGACGTGCGAGAATTATAATATGACGATCAATCCAACTATCCGTTAGTAAAAGTGTAGCCCAAGAAGAGTTAATAGTGGGTGGTGATCACTAGCTGTCTTCCCTCTAATATTTCACTGCTAATTAGGGACGGCTAGCGCAGATAGCCCTCGTGTAACTTTGCGCGAAATTTAAAGCAAACCAAACCAAAAAGTGAAGTTTCATCGTTTACGAATTTCTAAAAATTTTCATTAAATACACTAGATTCAAATTTGCATTTATTTACCAGCAGTAATCAGTAATCCATATAAAAAAGTGTAGCACTAAAACGAGTGTAAATTCACTTGCATCATCAGTTTTCAGGAAGGATAGAAGTAATATGTATTGGCATAAAGCATATTGTTACGTATCTGCTTGTTTGTTTCCGGTAGAAATTCTTTCCGAGGATCTTCAGCGATACAAGTCCTTTCTTGATGAAACCAGTTTATACTTCCTCGATACAACTTTTAGTACACAGAAGTTCCACAATCAGTACGTTTCTCGTCTCTTTAAACTTAACAACTTTTATAATTCTCGCAATAAATCACAGCGATTCACAATCTCGAAAACTTCGCTCTCGACGAGTGCAAAATACACACTTTACGGCTCACTAGCTCAAAACGAAGAGAATCATAAATTACACGGAACTCAAAGTAACTACTGCTCTCTCTTCATTAACACTACTGGCTTTCCCTTTTAGGCTTATATATTAACGAAGAGGGCATCTCGGACTTCCCCGATCATTCGAGAAACTCATCACGCACGCCAGCAGCGTCACGTGTCTTCCGATGTGGTAACACTACCCCTTCCTTAGTATTGTTCGTCCCGAACAATAGCCACTTGCATTAAACCAAAAGATAATTAACAATAACTTAATTAAATGTACAAAATTTACAAACACAAAATTAAAATACAACAAAGATTCTTAATTTTACAGGACGTTTCTTCTTTCGTACTGGTCTCTGTCTCATTGGCTTCTGCTTCAAGTGGGATTCATCTGCTCCATCAGGAAACGTCCCATTATCGGTAGCAGTCACATTAGTGGTAGTAACTTCATTAACGGCTTTACTGTTTTCCCTCTCAAAACCGGGTAGAGTTTCTTCTCCAACAGCGGCTTTTTCAGGTGACACGTCTTCAGCAGCATCAATTGTTCTGTTGTTCATTTTGTTCCAACTGAAATGTTCTGCGCCGTGATAACACCAAAGCCTATTGGCTTGCACCACCTTTGGCTTACCTCGCCGACCATATTTTATTCGAATAGTCACGTCTCAGAGAGAAGATAACTTAGGAGACTTCCCTTTGGTCTTCCTGAGATTATACATCCACACCTTCTCTCCTGGTAAAAAGCTGACTTCAGTAGATTTCTTATCATAACATAGCTTCATGGAATCAGCAGACATCTTTAAGTTTGAATGCACTTGATGATGAATATCATTGATCCTTTCAGATAACACTTTCACGAACTCTGACACATTTTCAGGCAACTCTTCGTAAGGTGGGCATCCTGTTATCAGGTCCACTGACAACCTAAGTTCCCGATCAAACATCAGCTTTCCTGGAGTGTATCCAATGGTTTCATGCTCTGCTGTTCTATAGACCATCAACAGTGGAGGGAGTAAGACATCCCAGTCATCTTGGCGGCTATTACAAAACTTTGCCAATTCCTGTCCCAGTGTCCAATTCTACTTTCCTACCATCCCATCAGACTGTGGGTGAAGTGGCATTGTCCTGGTCTTTCGTATGACAGACAACTTGCAGCATTCATGGAACACAGCTGATTCGAATTTACGGCCTTGATCTGAATGCATTTCGTATGGCATACCAAATCTGAAAAAGAAGTCACTAATAGCCGAAGCTACAGTTGTAGCTTCCTGATTTGGTATTCATGTGCCTCAGGCCACTTGATGAAGTAATCCATCACCACACAAATGTACTTGTTTTCAGCACGAGTTCGGGGCAATGGACCAGCAATGTCAATGGCTACTCTTTCCATTGGTGCACCAACGTGCTATAGCTTCATTGGAGCACGTCCCTTATGCTTGGGTCCCATTTTAGCACAATATGTACTGCAGGTCCTGCACCATTCTTCCACATCTTACCTCATACCTATCCAGTAAAATCTG